TGGTCCCAAGAAGCGACTGTGGGCATGCCACGGTGCGGTATGCCGCCTCACCTTTGGGTACCACAGTACCATCAAGGAGGCAAAAGAATGGGTCCACCCATATTCCGGCCAGAGGATGACGAGAGATGAGTTCATGAAGATTATCGGATATGACCCTCTCAAGGGTAAAAATCCTGACAAGGATGGACCCACTGATGGCTCTTACCTCTCACCAGAGGCGTGTCTGACAATGTCGGACCTCGACCCTGCGCCGGTTCTCTGTGAATGGAACGGCCATGTCGAGGGTGATGAGCCACCAGAGGAAGACTTTGAGTCATACGCAGAGATCTTCTCACAAGAAGCATCAAACGATCTTGACGAGATGTGGTGTACAAAAGGGCCTTACAAGGTCATCACCATCGCGATCGTCCATTTCAACTCATACATGACTCATAAGGAAGAACAGAGGCGCGAACTGGTGAACGCGTTCCTCAACGAGGTTCTCCCTTTCAAACCGGATGTAATTGCGGGGGATCTCAATAATATTGCGTCGAGGCTCACCTTAAAAGGTGGAGACGTTCACCCGCGAAACGGTTTGTTTTCTCTATACCTGGAGAAGAAACTTGCAGCATTCAACAGAATAGCAGGAAGGCACTCACAAGTGCGACACCTCTGCTTGAACAACTCTGACCAGCACAGACTGGCACGTGCAGATCGTCTACCGCCGGACCCGGCGAAGAAAGTTGCTGACCTCGACTGTATCAACAGTTATATCCTTGACTGGAGTAAAACGCCGCACACGGCGTCACCTAGTCCAAGAGATGCTACACCTGCCGCCGAAAGAACATACTGGGAACGAGTCTCAGATATGTGGCAGGACATGAACAAAAACAGGGATATCGATATCCGTCTGTTTGTCTCAGTCAAGCAGTACTATTCAACTTTTTCTAACCTTGACCTGTGGTTGAGTCCCTCTGACAAAGATTGGCACAGCCCTTTGGGCTTCACGATACAACCAATCCTTACAAAAGGGAAACACAACCGGTCAGATGCCCAGGTTCAGAAGATCGCTAACAAGCGACAGGCTTACAAGCAGCGTAATGCTGAATACTGGGATTACAAAGACTCATTTGTGTATTCATCCGGCAACAGCTGGTACGACAAACAGCAACCACAAGGTAGCTATCACAGATATGGAAGATTCTGGGAAAGGCCACAGCCTGAACGTCCCAGCGAGCCTGAAGGCTCTCCTCCAAGAAGGAGCCAGGCATCATCGTCCTCTTCACAACAAGATCTACCAAGATCAAGGTCCAGACCTCAAAGAACCAATATTGTTGACAAGCTCAACATGTCTTTGGAAGAGCTGGATGGACTAGAAGAAGAACCGTCACCAACAAAAGTGACATCGAAGAACACGAAAGAGAAACATCAAACTTGATGTCTGCTCAGAGAGATGAAGAGGAACAAGAGGACGAATCCTCCAGCCGGAGGAGAAGAAGGAAGGCATCACGCCCACCGTCTGCTCCGAGCGGCAAGGCACTCAGAACAGCTGCCACAGCAGCGGGGTTGTCGGGCTGGTTCGGACACCGTAACCACGGTGGAGCGAACGCAGAGTCTATCAAGACTGATGAACCTTCACTTCCCAACTCACTAACCAGTGAGCAAGACTTCTCCGTCTTCAGCATCGCGTGGAATGTGTTTCTGCTGCTAATGGGCCTACACTGGATGTGGAAGCAGTTCACCAGGGCTCCCATCAGATGTATGGACCGCCAACAATCAAATGCAAAAGCAGCAGCGAAACGACCACCACCATTTCTCGAACCCGAGAATGAACCACAGACGCGTGAACCTTTAGGACCCAACAGGGTCAATTCTGGAGAAACAACGGATTTGCGACCTGTGTGGCACACTTCCCGAAGCGAAGTCTACCATCTTTCAGACAGCTGTTACCAGCTCAAGCAAGCAAAAGATGTTTCAAGGAAGGTGCTGTGTAAAACCTGCCTCCAGGCAGTACAAGTTGCGGAGATTCGCAGGAACGATCCTTTTCAAAGAGGTGATACACGATCACGTGGCACCGAAAGGGACATTGAACGGTTTCAAACCTATGACGATGCAAGTACTACTCCTCATATGAGGCAATTATTCAGTGATGCATTGCATTCACAAATGGCCGAAGAAGCCATGCAGATTACCTATACATCAATCCCTAAGGGATCCTCGGCAAGAGCCAGAGGTACATCTGCACTCGCAAGTGCCTCATCGTCGTCAGTGCCCAAGGCAATGCCACCAGTGCCTAACAAGGCAAACATGTCACCTCCACCTAAGTCTCCTCCGCCAAAGGCGAAAGGAACAGTACCTTCAGATCCTCCGAGACCAAAAGGTCCTACCAGAAGAGGAGGTCAAAATCGGCGCATTCAACGAAAAGCAGCTAGAGAAGCCCATAACAGTGGACTCTGCAACCATGCAGACGCTGCACTTGGCGAAGCCAATCAAGGCCAGGCCATTAACACTATGTGCCGAAACATGGCAGTAAGACACGTCAGCTCTATCGATGCAACGGTAGAAGCAGCCGAGCAGTTTACGCAACGCGTGCAACAGCATGTAGAAACATATGATGAAGAGGAACCGTGGAGCACGGAGTTTCTACCAGTCGTGGAAGTCCTATTCAGGAACTTGAGCAGCGACGAAACAACTGTCATACATGACAATCATACGGCAACTATGCCTATTCAGAAATATCTCGACCTCCTCAGAATCGCACAATCATTGCGAAACTCTATCCAGAGAGACAAGGAGGAAAGAAAGGATCATCTTGACACCATCCAAGATACTCTATCCAGAGTGGAAATCCTTCTAACAGCACTGAAGGACTCAAAAACAGTCTTCAATCAATTGGTCCATTCCTCACTAGAGATAGAGCGAAGACATAAAAACCTCAAAAATGTCCTTGAGACACTTTTTCGACGACCAAAGCTCTGAGGAAGACCAGTCAGAATCTGACCATGAAGAAGTCCTAACTCCTTCTGCAGCACAGTACTGGAACAGCCTTCATGCCCACGCCTTATCTCCTTCAGGAGATGAAAGTGAAAGATCATGGGCGTCCTCAGACGGACAGCTTGAAAGAAGAAGGGCCGAACGGGCAAAGGCTAAGCAGCCACAACCGGCTAAAGCCGAGGCAACTCCAATCAGCTCACAAGCTGCACCAAAGGCCGAGCCAAAGGCGACTACATCCAACCATGGATATGACACTGCAGACGCCGCCTTCACCAGGGCTGAGAACAGATTACTCGGAATCTTTTCAAGTTCCGAAGAAGATCACTCAGACCCGGATGAACCACATCCGAATGTCTATGCTCGAGCCTATGATCCAAACCTGGATCCGAATCTGAGATAAGAAAATTCTCAGAGTTTCACAACAGTGACTCACAAAGCTCTAACAAGAGCACAATGAAGGGCTGCATAATTCGGTAGAAGAACATTCCCAGACCTGATCTTGTACAGATGATCTCTCTGACCAACATGCATGAGTGTGTGCAAAAGGAGTGACCTCAACAGTATACCTCAGTGCTATACCTAGCATAAACAATATGCTGTTTTTATCATGAGTCCAAACTCCGCAACTGTGACAGTGGGCATAATAGTATATGTGTGAATGTGCGGCCATGCTTCCGGTAAAAGAAAATTAGTGTCTGTTTGATTCCATAAACCTCTAAAGGGGTAGCTCTAACAGGTACCTACAGCAATGGCTGCATGCTCATACATATACATTCCGCTGCCCATTGGCTCACAGTGGTTTTACCATATTGAGACAAGACAAGCTCTCCTTGCGTAGCAAGACAAAACAACTACTGTCCGTGTGCAGGGCGCTGCCCTTTGATCCTTAGGGAATAAACTGGTCATACACCTCCTAACAAGGAGCATTTCCTTGTGGGTGTATCGGCACAGGGGTGGGGGTGGTGGGGGTGGGGGTGGTGGGGGGTGGGGGGGGTGGGGGTGGTGGGGGTGGTGGGGGTGGTGGGGGTGGTGGGGGTGGTGGGGGTGGTGGGGGTGGTGGGGGTGGTGGGGGTGGTGGTGGTGGTGGTGGTGGTGGTGGTGGTGGTGGAGGTGGTTGTGCTTGTGGTGTCTGCGAGCCGAAACAGTGCAAAACATCAAATCATTATTTGAGTACCTGTGCATGCATGTGCCGATGCAGGCATTACATGCATGTACGTACGTATGTACACCGCGATGTATGGGTGCATGTATGCTTCCACGTACGGATGTATGTAATGTTCAAACGTATGGGTCTACATCTGCATAAACACGACAGTGAATAAGACACTCCAGACGAACGCCATTCAGTGATACATCTTGCCGGCAATAGAAGGTACACAGCGCTTCTGTAGGCAGCTTTGAGTTTCGAGCACATGGGCTTCGACATTAGTCATTCTCCCGTGGAGGCGTTGATTGGCAGTGTGTGCTGCGGTTCAAGCGCACGTTAATGAAAAGGTGCAAGGACTGCAAGTTGTAAACATATGAGGAACTCATGATAATCAAACCACAATGTTTTGCTGTTCATCCTCTTCACTCAGCCTACTGGCAATGGCACTGTTCTTGCCCCCAGTAATGAGACCAGGAGCACTTGTAGCAGCAGTAACTTCCATAAAAGATGCACAAACAGCAACAGCCTAGGATGAATTCCGTCAATAAACCTGGTGCACATAGCCTGGAGGATCGGAATCACCACTGAAGCACATAAACGAACCCTAAACCCCCAGAAAAAAAAAGCCCAGAAGGGTAGTGTTAGAAAATACGAGCCTAATAATAATACTCGGAATCATTACATAGGGTCTTGAATCTTGTACGATGACGCCACGGGCAGGATCCCCTAATGTTCAAAAACCACTCTTTGTGAAAACCTTACAAAAACCAGCCTCACAATGACGACCCCTGCTGCTCCCCCCTCCCTGAAGCAAACCATCACTTCAAAATCCCCTGGTCTACGGGGTTGAGATTACTCGGCGTAGCCCCTGCCAAGCTTCCATCAGCCAGGAGCCCACCTTGCGATCTGCTTGATCAAAAAAAAGGAAGCCTGTTTGTTTAGGGGGGTTCATAAGCACTATGAGAGTCTAGGGAGTAAGATTATAGGCTGCAGGATTTAGAGTTTAAGCCGTTTAAGCCTTGTTTACCAGACTCTCTGAGCTGCAGGAGTTACAAGCTGTCTCCAAAGCGTCTCACCTCCACATCCGCGATGTCAATCGCGCACCCCTAAACACCCAAGGCCATGGGCTCTACCTTATCATTAGGATTTCCTTATATAAGGTAGGTCCTGCGGGGTTAATTAAGGTAGTCCCTAACCCCCAGGAGCGACAGCCAGACCAGCAACTTCAAGACCTAGAAGACGTGCTCTAGTCTAGGCAGGAGCCTGAACAACCCGAAATGCTTTATCGGCAGTATACATACATGTAACTGTATACATGATTTTTTGGGCGTTTCATGTCTACATGTGCAGTTGCTATCTTTAAACAGACAGTCATAAGCGCACCCGAGGCCCAAACCCCCGAATTCCTAAACCTAAACCCTACCTTAACCCTGAAGAACCTACCTTTTTAAGGACTTATATCAGGAAATCATAATAGGGCACCCTAAAAAGGTAGGTTCTTCAGGGTTAAGGTAAACCAACTGTTCCACGACCTCCTGAAGGATCCTGCCATCGGGCCCAGCCCGTCTCAAAGCTCTACGTGCAAGCATGCCCCAAGGATCCATGTACTCAAATAGTAGGTGCATTGGCCCTGAAGTACCTATATAAAGACTACTTTGAGGCCAAAGTATATACTATTTGGGTACATAGACCTCTAATTTAGGGATAATGCTTTGGGTTCTGCTCCCATACTGTAACAGTCCACGCGGTTTGGGGTTGAGGCTTTTGCGTTGAGGCCTACAAGGGTCTTGTACATACATACATATATACGAAACATAACAATATTATTTTTCATTGCAATAAGACTGTTCTTACTATTGTTAGGATTACCATTGTGTGTCTCTCTTGTTCTGCTTGGTTACTGCAGGGAGGCAGTATCAAGTAATGCTAAGTGGCAGTTAACTTACAACGTTGATCAACGGTTATGGGTGTAGAGTAGAGAGCCAGATCCCCCGTCCTACACACAGACACACAAACAAAACATATCGTCGTCATTTGTTGCAGGCTGGAAGCCAAGTGCCAGCATAATGGCGGTGACTCCTCTCTGTGTACGCTTGAATCCTCGGATCTGTTTGCGGAGCTGCAGAGTTCGGGGATTTCTCGAGTAGGTTTTGTCGTTCAGTTGCAATGGCTCTCTGGAGGTCGGGTTGGGTTTAGAGTTCAGGGCTTTGGGCATAGGCTTTAGGTTTCGGGTTTTTCCGGGCAGGGGGTGTCATCGGGGCTTGACATAGGGCTGCAAAACAATCTGCAATAACGCAGCCATGTCTCCTCCTCTGGACAATTGCTCAGCTTCTTGACCTTGGATTGCGCACAAAAGGATGCGAAGTCCATGCTTAGTGAAGGAGTTGGGGTTTAGGATATATGCCACCCAAGACATTCCAAATATGCACTCTCCAGAATTCGGTAGGAGTCCTGCGGGGGGCGACTTAACCCTAGGCCCCAGAGGGCAATACCTGAACCGCTGCTTGTCCCTACTACATTAAACAAATCATCACCTGCAGCCGCAACACCGAACTGGATGGAATCTGTCTAAGGCATCTTATCGTGGTTTCCTTGCCTGTTCCGGTAAGCAACAGGAAACAAAAGCCCTGAAAACATCAAAAACCCTGACCTTAAACCCTGGAACCCTCAACCCCTACCCCCTTCCACTATGGTTTTGTAAGTGCAGGTATGACACCCTAAAGCAAGTCCGAAACTCCAGCAGCCACACACCGAACAACTCCTGCAAGACTGCAAGAATCCGAAAAGACCCTGACTCGTAATTGAGGCGCTGGGATAGGCTTCTCGATGGCTAGGAACAAAGAACAAGAAAAGAAGGTAACCAAGCCAACCTGCTACAACTCACGTCTGGGTACATGGCAGCGGGTATACAACCAAAACCTGACAACAAGACACTACTGTGCTGCAGATCTGTTTGTCCCTCTCGTTGATCAAGTCCTTCCCAAAACGGGGTTGAATCGCAGGCTTCGAGGTTTTGGGAAGATCGAGGAATCGAGGATCAGGAAATGAGATTAACCGTGGGATCACAGTGTAGCTAGCTTCGGGTTTAGGATTGCGGTCTTGCCGCTAGCCAAGGCTTCAACAATCATGTCTACGCGCTCCAAAACTCAAACTCTAATGCAACACTCACATGACGTGAAAACCGAGCGGTCGCAACAGGCTTCGGAGTATGTTGCTTTGCTTTCACGCTGCAAGATATGCCTTATGTTCATATGTGTATTACGTATAAATACATATATATATATATACACACACATGTGTGTATATATCTACATGTGTATATATATATATAGAGAGAGAGAGAGAGAGAGAGAGAGAGAGAGAGAGTCCGGGGGACTGTGGGCGTGCGCTTTTTTGAAGTTGTTTGATTCTGTATTTGTTGCTAGCTTGCTTTATGCTAGAATTGTGATGGTACAAGCACATATATGGCTTTATAGAATCCATCAGAGACCCACTCGTAACAGCATTCATGTTATGGCTAGTTGGTTTGCTGGTCATATGTCCAGTCTAAGGGTCAAGCGACCAGAGACACGGCCCTAGTTGCTGATCTTCCCGTCTCGAGCTAACGGAAAGTATAAGACTTTTCCGGCACCCTGCAATATCTAGTACCAATACTGTTATTTGTGTTTTGCATTATAACAAGTTTGGACCTCAGTACATACTGTTTGCATCATATGATTTGCTTCGTTAGTTTTATCGGGCTGAGGACACATAAGCATGGATACTAGTATTCTGTTCTATTGTCCAAATATGTCATAAGTTGCAATCACATATATGTGTATTTGTATATGAACATAAGTTATATATATATATATATATGAAGAGTAAATGTGTACGGATGAATATATATATATATATGCATATGTCTATATATGCATATATATATACCTACATACAAAGACGAATATATATATATATATACACACACATGTATGTGTGAAATTGTGCATGGTAGAGAGCCCGGCATGTGCATATATATATATATATATATATATATATATATGTATCTATATATATATATATATATATATATGCACATATACATGTATATATATATATATATATATATATGTATTTATATTTATATGTAAATATATTTGCATATATGTACACTTTGTATATACAGTGCCTTACATTGGTTGACAAATTCTGACCTTTCAATGCACATACATAGATGTATACGCATATGTGTGCGCGGAGCATGCTTGTAGATGTAGTACAGGCTTCTTGATCTGTAAATACTAATTTGTTTGCTCATCTTCGTGTTATTAATACTAACCATGCCCTTTGCATTGCTTTTGTCGGTACGTGTTTAAGACGGTAACCGAACATTCAACCCAAATACAGACAGTAATAGCACTAGATACACGATACTTTTCAATCCACACTAAGCCGATGTTCTATAGGTTACCAGCAACAAGTCTATTGTAAGGTGGCACATACATGTACTTGTCATACTTTAGCTATGGTCATGTTCAGAGGAGTAATCGGAATATAGAAGGCATGTTACATGTGGACAGGCTGAACATGTAAATCAATGTACAAATCCTATAGCAGAAAATGTAAATGTGAATGATCCTACAAACATAATGCGCTTTTTTAAGCTTAGGTTTGTTGTGTATTTTATGTATACATCCGCAAAGTTTACACATACATCTCAAAAATAGGTACTCATACACATTCACGCATGTGTACCTATATATACATATATATATATATATATATGCATGCATACATACATATTTCACACGCACATGTATCTATGCACATCCAAGTTTCTAGTATGCTGTGAAGAGCCTATGTGAGATTGAAATGAGATTAAGTAACTGTAGTAATTTACGACAGTATGATCACCAGTACTATACACTTCATCTGGGGTTGTTCCTGCAAAAAAACACACAAAAATATCGGCGAATCAATATCGACCTGCATTTAAATTTAATAGTCACCGTGTTAACAGTAATTAAAAATGGTAGTTACTGTAAAACAAACGGAGCTCAACAAATAATTGGTCGCTGTATCCCGCAGACGCCGATAAGCCTAATTACAAGAGTGACAATGTAACAGCTTTAAACTAGACCAACTGCAGTACTCACACGTACACATGTGCATTGTCTACGAGCCTTGCCGTGAGAGTGCATTGCCCCCCCAATGTGTGCCACTGACCCTGGCGCGCGCGCGCGTATTTTGATGTTTTTTTGGGTTGGCAGCCACCTCCAAAAGAACCCCAAAAAACCCAAAGAACCAAAAAAATAAAAAAAACCAAAAGAACCAAAAAAACCAAAAGAACCAAAAAAAACAAAAGAACCAAAAAAACCAAAAGAACCAAAAATCCGACACTCTCCGGCCATGGAAATTTCAGTCCAGGAGTCTCTGGCAATTGGTTTTTTTGGTTTTTTTGTTTTTTTTGGTTCTTTTGTTTTTTTTGGTTCTTTTGTTTTTTTGTTTTTTTTGGTTCTTGTGTTTTTTTGTTTGGTGTTTAGGTCTTTTGTGGTTCTTTTGAGGTGTCATCTGCAGCAAAACTCCGTTATTGCAGGGAGCGTACCTCTCTCATTAAGTATTGCGTAAATGATGCTGAAGCTAGCGCTAAAACTCCTGGACAAGTGCGAGCCCAGGGTCCCCCGTTTTGTATGTATATATATATATATATGTATATATATATATATATATATATATGTATGTATCACACATATATATATATATATATATACGTATGTGCACCTACTTGCCCACCTACCCACCTACCTACCCACCTAACCAACCACCTACCTACCTACCTACCTATCGCCCACATAATTACCGACCCACCCACTTGTAAAATACATGTTAATTGCCCACTTGACTACATGCCTACCCAGCAATCTACCCACCCGCGTACCGGTACATCCGTAGCTACACACATTTTACACGCGAGCAGTACTTATCTATCATCTATCTACCTACCTATATATCTTGCCAGCTTCAGCCCTAGCTCCAGCTCTCCCTGGCTCAGTATGTATGTATCGATGTAACCATCCGTACATGCATCCATCATCCATCCGTCCATCCGTCCATCCGTCGATCCGTCCATCCGTCCATCCGTCCATCCATCCATCCATCTATCCATCCACGCTTCTACCTGCCTGTCTATCTATCTAACTATATGCATACATACACATGTACGCATGTGCTTGCGTGCATGTGTTTCTGTATGTGCGTATGAATATATGCTACACGTGTGTAAATATATATATATATATATATATATATATATATATATACACCTGTATGGAAATGCATATGTATGTATGTATGCACGCATGCATAAGTAAGTATGTGTATGTACATATACGAAACAGGGAGAGGCAGAAAGGGAGAGAGGGACAGAGGGAGAGGGGAAGAGGGGGAGAGAGGGAGAGGGAGCGGGAGAGGGGGAAGAGAGAGAGAGAGAGAGAGAGACAGAGCGAGCGAGTGAGGGAGAGGGGTGGACTGCCAGGAAACTCCAGACCCGTCTGTCTACTCAGAAAGAGCTATACAGCTCTGATTCTTTTTAATATTCTAGGAACGATTCAGATGCATTGTAGCATGAAGCCATCTCAGATGCAAACCTTAACCCCAACACCAACATCCGCTCCTTGGTGCTGCGGCTGCGCCTGACGGGCGAGTCCAAATCTTGTGGCTGACCTTGGCTACTTTTGAAGCCCTGCGAAAGAAACCTCTGCGTCGCCATAGAACAAATGAGAGAGAGGCCGTGCAGAGAACAGCCAAGTCACAATGGACCAAGTCTCCAGTGGGAGGTGCTTCGACCACATCCGTTACCTAAGTTCCCCAGTATCCTCCAGAAAACACCGGGCATCTCTTTTGAAACGTTTTTTTTAGATTGTCTGTTTTCAGACCCAACGGGTCCAACGTACCTGTAAGGATCATCATCCTGTGTCCCAGCATTCAAGGCACTTCTGAGGGACCGAGACACATCCTGTGGGGGCTCCACATCCGGCTGTGCCAAGACAGCGCTGAACTTCCTTAGTCCAATCCATGGATGAACAAAATCGGGTTAGGTTTTGGGGGTTAGGGGGTTAGGGTGGTTCCGGACACATCACCGTAGCGAAGCGACGTCCACTTTGCGTTCCGGGACCGCCACGGCTAAGGTGCTTGTCACGGTACTGTCTTCCTTCGGCTTAGCTGGCCTAGCATCTTCTTTGCAAGCCAGGGGGCGTAGCTCCCCGCTTGACTTATCACTGTATTGTCCTCCTTCGGGGATCGAACACCGAACTCAGAATAATCAAAACCTTGACTATGCGCACTCTGCGCTCTATCTTTAAGTTCCGACTGCATTCCAAGCTTTGGCTACCTTCCTTTACAGTCCAACGTAAGAATATTGCTACCAGTAGGAGTGAAGAACCCTGTCTGCGGAAACAGTCCAAGCAACGATGCGAAGCTGAATTGAAGTGAGGGTCAAGCCACATTCGATAGTTTGAAACTCTTGCCCTGCACACGTCGCTAGAGTGACAACCAAGAGGAAAGGATTCTCTTCGAAACAGCATGCAATCCCGATTCTTGCTCGCTCGGCATACGTCATGCACGCTCGGAAATCCCAACTGTATAATAGGGTTCAACCCCTCTCAAACTTTTGGCGCAACCTCCCTACACACCGAACCTTCAAGATCAGCAAAGGCGCACGGCATGGGAGCTGCTCGACTGAAGTCTGTCTCTGCGCTGGAAGTCAAGGGTGGCGGTGGAAAGCAACTGCCTTGGTCTGCCACGACAGCTTCGATCTAACGTGCAGCATCGTGCAGCTGATTGCTTGGAGCGTCAGGGCACTTCGCAAGTAAGTTTTGTATCCTAATCGGAGCTACCAAGACTTATACAGCTGGAGCTGCCTCATCTGAAACCCTAAACCCTACCCTAAACTGTAAAATGCGGGACGACCACACGCTTTACTGTAGGGTTCGGTTTAGGGTACAAAGGGGAACGCAGGACAAACCATAGACCGTCAACCTATGACCTATTAATCCAAGGGTCCATGCAAGTATGTATACCAACCCCCGCCCCGAACAATACAACATCTAGCATGCCCAGTAACCTAGGAATAAAAAGGGCTCCCTTTCTGGTATTGGGCACCTTTATAAGGAACCTAGGACTACAAAAAGGGAATAAGGGTACTACTAGGCATCCTAGACAGTAACCTGCAACACTACGTAGTATCCTATAGAGCCGAGTGCCGAATTCGTTGGGTTTTGGAGCTTAGGAAACCCAGATCTTCGAAACCGCACGGCAGCAAAGGGGATTAGGATGATAGGGTCTAGGGTTTTTTGATAGCCTATTACGGTTTAGGGTTTTTGTTGGGGGGGGTTGAGGGTTTTGGGATGGTAAGTTTGGCACCTCCAAAACCCAAACAACTAGTTGTAGAGATTTAGTGACAAATTGCCCGGTGTGTGCTGAAGATACATGCGCATCACAGGGGAGATAAGATTGTATGGCCAACCCGATCTGCGGCAACTCGAAGTTGCAGAGTTTTGGGCATATCTAAAGTCCCCATAGTAGTTACCATGTAGGATCCTAAGTATAAATACGGTTAAACCCAAAAAGGGAACTACAACGGAAACTGTAGGTGGGGTTAGATCAAGCTGCCTGTTCAATTCCCAGGAATGGCTCGTGCACTTCTTCGGCTTTGGACTCTGCAGGGCGGTCGACGAGAAGATCCGGTCCTACACCAGGGGCACCCTGGAGCATAACCCCTGAACCCTAAACTTCACACCCTACCTGTGGCCGAAAATAGACCTTCCGTTTTAAGGAGCTTTAAATTAAAAATCCATAATGGGGCACGCCTAATAAGGCGGCTACAGGTATATCCCAATATGCCGTATAAGCCCTCAGCCCCAACCCCTGTGCAACCTGAACCCGAAAGCTTTGGGCTCAGAGACCTGCAGTGTTCCGAACTACCCACTACTGTACAGCCCCGTTCAAGCGGTAACAGAAGGGTTTAGGACTTGCGGTTTAGATTCCACTCTAAAGGGCGACTTTTGGGGTGGCCATCCTGCCAAGTACTCGCGACAGGGGGGCTTCTTTGGGGCTCAGGGTTTTCGGATTTGGGAGATCGGAGCTTACCTATAGTCTCCATTGTAGTTCCTTTTTTTGGGTTACTTTATAGGATCCCTAATATATAGTTGGTTAAACAAAAAAAAAGAACTACAATGGAGACTATAGGTAGGGAGTTGTTAGGTAGCCCTAGACCCTAAACCCTAAAATTAAGGCTCACAGTTCAGAGCTTCGGGGCTGACCTGAGTGTCTACTCAGAACCTTCCTTGTCGTTCTCTCTGTTGCTTCGATTTTCTTCTTAGAAAGCCTAGTCGTAGTATGAGGTTGGAGTGGAATTATGTTGGAGGATATGGATACGACCGAGGCGTTCAAGTTCTGACGCCATGAGATGATCGTGCTGTTGTTTTACATCTTCCGTTCGTAGAGAAGTAAGAAGCGAGGGGCACCAACGCAAGCACGGATGTAGAAAGCCTCGACATGGGAGTTTCCGAAAATGGGGGACCCAGTTATAGTACCCTAAATAATAGGATCCGTATTATAAGAACCCCAAAAAAGGTACCCCTAATTTTCAAAAACTCCCATATGTTCGTCGGGGTTGGGGAGCGGTAGAGCTCTGAACATAAAGCTTCAAGCGACTTCATTGCCAGGTGCTTTGCCAGCGACGCCGAGACTCCGGTCATCTTTGGTTTAAGGGATAAACCTATGATAACGGAACCTATAAGGATCCTCAACGAAGGGACTCTGAACAATGGGCCCTACGCCCTAATTCTATATGGTTTGGGGTTTTGGGTTGCAGGTTACTATATGATACCTTGCTTAAAAAGGAAGGTCTAACTCGTTAACAACCCAAACCCATCAGTTCCTAGCTCCCAACGCTTGAAGCCACAAAAAGTCCACATCCTCTGCTTGGAGGTTCATGTGTAGTTACAAGTAGGGTAACTATGCTTATGACTCATATTGGACTTATAACCCCACTTATAACTACCCCTGAACCTCCAAGTGGGTCCAAACAGAATGGCCGTAGAACTTTCAGAAACCCTCCTGACACCTCAGAATCGACACGCAAAACATGATACAGCCTCCAGTAAAACAATACGCGCAGCCACCACTCCATAACCAGTCAGTGGCACGACCATGAGTTTAAACAGCATCTAAAACCCTAAGCCAACTAAAGGATCCCTGTCCTGACGAAACTGGAGCTTCTCAAGCTTTTGGCTGATATGTCTCAGCTCCCTGGACAGGCTGACACGGTCACGGACCTGAGTGGTCAGTTTACCTAGAGGCTCCAAAGTAGTTCGTTTCTGGGGTTCATATATCATATATAGAATCCTATAAGGTAATCCCAAAAGGAACTACTATGGAGCCTATGGGTATATATACATGGCTTGAATACGCTACTTTGGGGGCTTAGGTTTCGATTTTTAGCGGGCTTCCCAGGGTTTAGGGGTGTGCTTCTCAGGTCGATTGCCGTGGCTGCTGTCAACATATGGGTGCTTGTCAAAATTGTGATCCCTTTTGGGGTCCCTATTATAATACGGCGGACCCAACTTTGAGGATCAAGGGGCTGAAAAAGCAAGGCAAGAGGTAGCCCAAGTGGAGATATAACCAATTCAGTAGCTACCTCAACTCATATCCTAGTTACTAAGTCGCATGACATCCCGTCGGTTCTGGACACTCTCGCCCCCGCCCGTGGTGTTTGGGCTTGATGGGACTCCGCTCGACCGTAGTGTGGCTCGGATCTTTGGTGCTATCATGCTGGTTGAGTGTAGGCGTTCCACAAAGGGATCTATAAGGGCTTATGGCTTATGGGTTTAGGATTTAGGGTTTAAGGGGCCGCTAAAAGGATCTAAAAGGGTTGAGGGGTAAAGGCTCCTGCAAAGGTTCCTTTGGGCTCCTTTAATGCAAGGTTCTCCTCTCCCGCCCTCCCGGCTCCGAACCCCTGATGCGTTCTGAGTCTGCTTGGGGTCTTCGGTGCTGTTTGAAGGTTTAAGGCTTAAGGTTGAAGGATTACCTGTAGCCGAAAAGACCTACCTTTGTAAGTAACTATATATTGAAGCCATAATACGGAACACTAAAAGGGTAGGTCTATTCGGCTACAGGTAGGGTTTCAGGCTTGCAGGTTTTTTAGTTTAGGGTTTATAATATGAGTCTAAACCCGACCAACGCAAAAGCTCCAAATGTCTAAACCCAGGGCTCCGAAAGCTCACACCTCTTAATGTAGGAACCCGATTAAGAAACCCTGGCCTATGACCCCAAAATAATAGGCATTCATATAAGGAACCCCAAAAAAGGCCCAAGGTTTCTTAATCATGTTCCTACATTATCATAGTATATACCCTTATAGATCTCTTATAGTAACCCTTATAGACCCATTATAGAATTATCGTACCCTTATAGATCCCTTATAGTAACCCTTATAGACCCATAGTACCCTTTAAAACCAAACTCCAAGTCAACCTGGGAGCTGCGAACCAAGCACATCCAACACCCCGAAAGCCCGCTCATCCCAAACCCCTCAGAGGTTAAGGGGTTTTAGGGCTTTAGGGTTTAGGGGTTTAGGCTTCAGGGGTTTAGGGTGTAGGGGTTTAGGGTGTACGGGTTTAGGGGTTTGAGGGTTTTGGGCTTTGGGGGTTGAGGGTTTAGGGGTCTAGGGGTTTGGTGGCTTAGGGTCGAAGTGCAAGTCCCTGCCTGACCGTGGAGGACCAAGCGCATCATCGTCAAAGGGTCATCGCCGCCGTTATCTTCGAGCCAATCCCTCAACTTGGCCCAAGCCTGGCTGCTCAGAGCCCTGAGACATGTTTGCGGCGGCTTCCCTTTGTCATTGAGGGTTCCTTCATGTTTCTGATGGAGTGTCTTGCAATTGAACTGAAAGCTTATCTGGTGGCTTTACTTGCCTGACAAGTTTAACTTTGACCCCAATCCCTGAACTGCTTTGTTCAGGATTTAGAGTTGGCTGCCAGGCCTGCAGAACCACAACAACAAATGATGCTGCATAACCCCTTAGAGTAATATTGACCAAATCGGTCACTTTAATTAAAGCGAACTCACAACGCTGCGCGCCTCCTGCACTTCGGCCTCTTCGTTCGTGCCCCTTTGCGCTGGCTCTGACGAACGTGACTCTTCCGTCACGAACGATTCCTTGGATGTGGGCTGCAGGATGTATTCGTATTCCAAGTTCCTAAAATCCAAGAGCCGAATCCTAAATCCTTGAAGCGTGAAGAAACGCGCAGCCGAACGGAACCCGTGTGTTCGAGCTTGAGACAATGAACTAATTTGGAGACACATGTCGGTCAAGGATCGTGGTGCAGGGCTTATGTAGAGGACCACAAACTTACACAAGGGGTGAGGCTTTTCTGACAGGAAGCCTTGGAGAATGAAGCTACAGCAGCACCAACGCTTGTAGCTGGGCTAATATAGGGGCCTTAATATATAGTTAGAATAGGGTTTTGGGGCCCATTATTATACTATAACTATAATAAGGAACTCCCCAACTCCTATAGTACCTGCATGAAGTTCCTTGTGGGCTGGCTTTCGGCTTTCCTTCTGAAACTTATGGTTCAGGGTTTTCGCCAGCAAGGGCTCGGCATTTCGGGTGCGTAGCGCAATCGCTGAAGCCCCTGCTAGCTTGAAACACACAAACACACACATACACACACACATGCATACGTGCAAAACATACATATACTTACAAACATACATAATCATACATACATAGGCACCCCGAAACCCTGAACACGAAACCTATAACAAGCGCCTGAGGGCGCCATCGGTCGAAAATCCCAAACTCTGAACTCTGCAATCCCAGGGCACTCAGCCGGAAGCCCTTAAACTCCATGGTTGTAAATCTACTTAAAGGATCATGGGACTTAGTAAATAGGGTTATAATTAAGGTAACTGTGCTTATAATTACTTATAACCCCAATTAAGGTACTTATAACCCTACTTACTAAGTCCCACGATCCTCCAAGTACCTTTAGGCTCCACTGCCGTGCCTTGTTTTGCTTAACGGGCTTTATGACTGGAGTTCTACACTATACAAACGGTTATCCAAAAACGAAACATAAGTGGAGACTGAAACCATAAACCCTTGACCGCAAACCCTCAACTCCACATGTAGAGACTTCAAAGAAGCCGGGACGCTGATTGTGACGCCAGAGGCAGCAAGTTAAGGGAGGCGGAGGAGTTGGAAGAAGCCAAACCGTGCATTCTCATGGCGACGGCAACTAGAAGTGATGAATAGGGAGCTTTTGTTTAGAATGTGTTCCTATCCTGAACTGAAGACCGCTTGCCTTCCTAGTCTCTATGTCAGCCTGCGCCCAAAGCTTTCGAGCCGCAACTGTTTCCGCGAGCGCAGGTTTGCGGTTTCAGGGGTCGGTGGTGCATGTGCCCAGGGTTTGGGGCTAGGATTCCCCAAGACTCAACGTACCCATGTAGTATATTCTCAGGCCTTAAAGTGCCTTAATATAGGGACCCCTTCAAGGCTTAAGTATACTACGGTTGATGATATAAATCCTGCATTACCCATAATAAGGAATATACCATAATTCCCATAGTTTAGGGTCCTTAAGGTAATGCAGGATTTATATCATCAACCGTACTATGAAGGTACCAGAACCATCTGACATCTTCGTCTTCAATGCCCCTCCCGAACAGCAGGAGCTCCCTCACACAATGACCTTAAGCTCGACCGCACCATAAACCCTGAAGCCTATAACCTAGGAAGCTGACTAAGAAACCTTAAGGGTCCTTAGCAGGGTTCCTAACATGATCCTAATATACTGGGGGTTATAGAAACCTTAAGGGTCCTTATTAGGGTTCCTAACACGATCCGAATATACTGGGGGTTATAGGGCCAGGGTTTCTTACTCAGGTTCCTACATCAACACCCGAACATCCAGAAACTTGAGGATCCTAGTACACAGCGATCACCGACTCTGCCGGGAAGACTAGGCTGTTCAGTAACCCACTGGGAAGGTATATACTTTTTTAGGTTTCCTATTTTACACTTCCAGAAACCTGAAAGCAAAAAAGTGTACCACTGAACAGCCTGGAAGAATTTTGCCCCGTGCCTCCGTCCGTTTTGCAGCAAGCTTCTGAACGAGACGTTTGCGCTCCTCCAAAGGCTTTTGTGTAGTGTCCGTCCAAGGGTCAACGTAGCAAGTACTGAAGCTTTCAAGTTGGTATAGCGAAACGCCTCAGATTATCTACTTGAAGCCTGAAAACCCGTGATTCTAGATAGGCATGAACCCCTGCTCTTTGCATCTAGCCCTCAACGTAGTTGGAGTAGTAGTCTTGCCGACCTCTATACCCGGTGCCGTAAAAATCTAAACTACGGTGTGGTGATCCTTTACGAGGGATCCTGAAAGGCACTCATGACATGAATAGTTCCAATGCTCTGTAAGACGCCCCTGCACTCTGAAGTCCCTAGACTCATCTGTCTGCTTCCTAGTAGGGAATGCGGGAATGGGTTATTGGGACTTTTATTGGGGATTTTAGAGGGACTACTCTGGGGATCCATTTCCCTATTCCCTACTAAGCACTAGACAGTCATGCTCGCCTGACGGACGGAAACCCAGTGCTCATCGGTCATCTTCTGCCATTCGAAGTGTACATAATCATATACAAACAGACTATTGGAATACATGCACATGCATACAGACCTGCCTATATGTACACATTCATATACGTACATATGCAAAGGCATGTATATTTGTTATATAACTATATACATGCACGTGTGTATATCATTTTATACACACGTCAGTGCTGCATACACATGCAAAGAGACAGCTGCCGCTCTTGCAGAAGTTGCTTACTCCACAGTGGCCGAATACGATTGAGCATGTTTGCTAAATTCCGCTAGTCTCTATAGGTGGCGGCTTCAAAGGGGGATCGGGTTGAGATCTCGCAGTCATTATGGCTTGATGAGTACCATTTGTGTAGGGCTTCTTTCATAAGAGAAGGCAGACTTGGGTTAAAGGGGATTTGGTAAGCGAGGTTACAAGTACCCTCGCCGGGGTCGTAGGTTACTTTTAGTTGTCGCTACCGAACATACTATGTACTATGTTGCTATGACCCATGCTGCTGCAAGTAAGGGGGATCGGCAGACCCGTATGTACTATGCGGCCCTTGGTCCCAGTCACTTGGAAAAATGTAATAGGGCGGTGGGGTACAGTTGTAGTATGCCTGTGAAGAGTACTCAGACCCTACATCACATTCCGGGATCTATGATTCTTCTTCAAGAGGCACCTCTCAAACAACGATACCGAACAACTTCTGAACTGGACCCGTGTGGCGTGGGATATCGTTACCTACGGCCAGCACTGCTGCTGTCGCCGGGTTCCTGAAATCACCGATCCCGTCGCCCCATCATCATCTGCATCTACTTGGAGGATAAGGGCAGATAGGGAGACGCACTAAGTATCTCGAGACTCAAAGCGCTTCGGGTTTACAAGGGCTTAGGCTTTGAGTTTAGGGTTTGTTTAGGATTTGGGGTGTTGTCTTAGGTTTTATACGGGCTTAGACTTTGTGGTTTCGGGTGCATCTTACCTATAGTCTCCATTGTAGCTCCTTTTTTTGGGTTACTTTATAGGATCCTAATTATATAGTTGGTTAAACCAAAAAAAGGAACTACAATGGAGACTCTATAGGTAACCCCCCGAACCCTGAAGTCTCAGTCAGTCCTTCGCTTGCTCCAGTATCGCCTGCTCGAACTGGCGCAGGTATATAGCCTGTCATTCCAAGAGGAAGAGGAGGGACCCTTAATGGGGACCCCTACCCTATGAATGGGGCTATATCATGGGTATACAATAGCTATATTAAGGGTATATACCTAGGGGTCTTTATTAAGGGTCCCTCCTTTTCCCTTTTGAGTCAAGGCAAGCCGTATCAAGCTTAGGGTTGATTGATCGCCGAGTTTGGGGTTTAGGGCTTAGGGTTTAAGGGTTTAGGGTTTAGCGGTTTCGGGTTTAGGGGTTTGTTTAGGGTTTAGGGTTTAGGGGTTTAGGGTTCAGGGGTTGGGGGTTTAGGGGTTTTGGGTTTAGGATTTGGGGGTATGGAGTTTAGAGCGTTTAGGGTTTCGGGCCCCTAATGGTTAGTTAGTTGGTACGTATAGTACTTTGGGCTAGGTAACAGCGCTCCGCGATCACCAATCAGGGTTCTACATTATTGTGGACGTGGACCCAAAGAACCACAGCAAAAACCTTGTTCTGATGCTATATAACCCGATTAGAGAGCTCTTAGGAACCCTTTAAGGAGCCCCTTTTTAAGGAACCCTATAAGAGCAACATGAATTTAGCAGCGTCCGGAAGATGCCTGCTTCTAATACCTCAACCCTGAGCCTCAACTCCAATCGACCCCAAGCCCTAAACGCAAAACCCACCTAAGGCGGTTTAGGGTTTAGGGTTTTAGGGTTTAGGGTTCTAGACCCCGCCAAACGACTACAAATCTTATAGCTTAAAACCCTGAACCCCTTCAACAATGACCGACCCAAGAGACCTCCTCTTCCTGTTTATCTTTCGAGCTGCGAGGACGACCTGTCTTCACAGCAGGCGAAGGTCAGGTGACGGCCCGCCCCGAGGGACTCAAGAATATGCCCTTTTGGGACTTCACGGGTTTAAGTTAAGTTTAGGGTTTAGGAAGTGGAGTTTAGGGTACATGTAGTATATAAGGCTTCAGGGGTTTGGGGTTTAAGCAACACACGGAGGCAAAGGGTCTAAAGGTTTTCACGGTTTCCTGTTTGGGATTGAGGGTTTGGGATTTTAGGGCTTACAATCCAAGGTACTTTACGCTTTGGGCCACGCAGCGAATCCCGTGAAGGCATCAACATTATTCGGGTTTGCATTACAAGGCAGTCTGGGTATGCACCCTGCCCAACCACCCGGTTTCAGCCTCGGTCCCTACTAAGTTACGCTTCAACTTGATACAGTTGCCTCAGTCATTGTAAAATGGAGTTATACTAAGGAACTTTAGAGAATGCGGTTGATGCTTTCAACCTTCTATAGACAATGGATACTGTTACCAATGAATCCGCTCCCTCGGCTCGTGAGTCACAAGCAGGCAGACTCTAAGCTTAGGGTTTAGCTTGTCACTGCACAAGGGTTGTCTGAGACAAGCGGCAAAGAAGTTAATCATCAAAGCAAGTAGTATGAAAGCTACCAGAGCAGAATCACGGAAGAAGCAGAATCATTGCACGAAGCACTCGTTCTACTTGATGTGCTGACTCTCCCCCTTTGAGCTTACAACCTAGTAGCAGAACGTAAAAATGACACAAAATGACTAACCCAAAACGATAAAGCCCTAAACCCTAAACCCGTCAAAGAACACCCAGTGAGACTGCAAGAACTCCACCGGGCTTAGGGCGACTACTTGAGGGCTGAGGTCATAGCAAACACTTTTTGTATCTTTTTGTCATACTTACTTTACCCCCTCCCTCCCCCACCCCACTTCGTGATAATTTTTCAAAATATGACTCAGGACCTTACTTACTAAGTTTACTAAGTTCCCTGACCCTCGAGGTAGAGTTCGATTTCCAGTACCCACCGATCATGTGCCATGAGAATGTTGACCCTAAACCCTAAACCCCGAACCCTAAACCCTGAACCCTAAACCCTAAACCCTGAACCCTAAACCCTGAACCCTAAACCTAAACATAATTGTGCAGAAGCCCTGCGCCCTGCAGATCTCATTCCCGCCTGAGGGGCTCGAGTCTCCAGCAGCCTGTGAGTGTCACTTCTTCTTTTAGGGTTTAGGGTTTAGGGTTTAGGACTTAGTGGTACGGCTGATGGACAAAATCCTGCATTACCCATTACAGGGAACATACCATAATTCCCATAGTTTAGAGTCCTCAGTGTCATGCAGGATTTTGTCCATCAGCAGCATCATCATCGTCGCTGTATGTCACCATCATCATCAACATCATCATGGTTGTTGTCGTTGATGGTTGTGATGCATTTGAGTACGATGCCTTCGAAAGGCTTACGGTGATCACGCAAACTTATGGTGGTGCTGAGTCGTTACCATTAGTTTGTCATCGGTTAGGGTTCGTCAACCTACGGTAAGACTCTTGATCATAGCAGCTCCGCTGAGAAGGATCTTTCTCTTGGGCTCGACGAACGCATCCGTGCCAGCTTCTACAGTGAAGTTTTTTGTAGGCTTAGGTTTTAGGTTTGCCGCCTGGTTTAGGGGCTCGGGATTGAGGATCTAAACAGTTT